CTCCAACCTACTAGCAATTGCCTCCAACCTACTAGCGATGGCCTCCAGCCTACTAGCGATGGCATAGCGATGGCCTCCAACCTACCAGCGATGGCCTCCAACGTACTGTAATAGCGATGGCCTCCAACCTACTAGCGATGGCCTCCAACCTACCAGCGATGGCCTCCAACCTACTAGCAATTGCCTCCAACCTACTAGCGATGGCCCCCAACCTACTAGCGATGGCCTCCAACCTCCCAGCGATGGCCTCCAACCTACTAGCAATTGCCTCCAACCTGCTAGCGATGGCCTCCAACCTACTAACGATGGCATAGCGATGGCCTCCAACCTACTAGCGATGGCCTCCAACCTACTAGCCATGGCCCCCAACCTACTAGCGATGGCCTCCAACCTACCAGCGATGGCCTCCAACCTACTGGCAATTGCCTCCAACGTACTAGCGAGTTGCCTCCAACCTACTAGCGATGGCATAGCGATGGCCTCCAACCTACTAGCGATGGCCTCCAACCTACTAGCGATGGCCCCCAACCTACTAGCGATGGCCTCCAACCTACCAGCGATGGCCTCCAACCTACTGTAATAGCGATGGCCTCCAACCTACTAGCGATGGCCTCCAACCTTCTAGCGATGGCCTCCAACCTACTAGCGATGGCCCCCAACCTACTAGCGATCAACCTACCAGCGATGGCCTCCAACCTACTAGCGACGGCCTCCAACCTACTAGCGATGGCCTCCAACCTAGCGATGGCATAGCGATGACCTCCAACCTACTAGCGATGGCCTCCAACCTAATACTAGCGATTCCCTCCAACTATTTGCAACTATATGTTCTTGTCACAGCAGTGTACCTAAGATCTCTGAATCGTCATTCGAGTTGACGTTTTGCCAGGGGGGAGCTTGTTACCTTTGACACCCAATATTATAGATTGTACCATCAACATTTCCGGCGGCTTCGTGCCAGACAATTTGGACGCCTTTCCAAACAAAAATTATTCTTGTAGGCAAGATCAAATGGAAGGTTCTTTGGTTCTAAGGCATTAAAGGGTCTCAATCTGCAAGATATCCACCATGCAAGACTTGTCTGAGGCGGTCCCGAAAGACTGCAAAGTCTGATGAAGAGGTGAAATCAGCGAAAACCAAAGTCGTTTGGCCTCTAAGCAGCAGTGAATTCGGTGAACCTATTGGACACTTTGGGAACATAAGCGAAGGGCTTTGCACCACTGCTTGCCTGAATGTTGTAAATGATATGTTTGTGGAAACATCTAGAATTCGCTCAGCAATGAGATGCTCAACATTCAGGGACCTGGACATGGAGGAGATCAAAACGAGCTTTGCATATGGACAGCAGCTTGGCTGAGATACTTGGAAGCTACCTGGAAGGTACCTGGAAGGTGCGGCAGGTGCTTCCAGATGTGTGGGGACAAACCGTTTTGCTTCCGTTTTGCTGTGGTCAGAAGCAGGATAGTAGAGCTTGTTAGAGTTTGACTTCCTGGGCTTCCTGCAACCTGTAATTAAGACGTTTTTTAGTTGCAAGGGCTTTGCTCCGTTGAGCCTCCTTGCTCTCCGGTTCCATTGGCTGGTCATGCGGAATGCCAGGTCCCGAGCTGAAGGACGCGGTCCGCGCAACACCTTCGAAATAGAATGTGACGTGGACTTGGAAGATCCGGTGGCTCTGGAACCAAGCTGGGATGAAGAACAACAACGAAGGCAACCAAGTGACAAGAGGCACACCATTGTCGTTCTTTTGGGGGAGTCAGGAAGGGACGTAGTTTATGTTTGCAGAGACGCAGCAGCTACCAACTAGAAACAGAACCCTGAACCGCCTGAACCGTGATTCATTCAGGGCCGCTGTGCCTTGATGCTCTTGGGCGCTGTAGACCACAAACACAACAACCAACTCAACAGCTTGTCACCGGATGGAATGCTATGCTTGAGTCGCGGCAAACACAATCCAATACAACTGCATGATTTGTACTTATTCTTTACAAGACTAGGAGCAAGGACGCTACTAGGGGCTCCTGGCCTTACTACTAGGAGCAATGTTCGCTACGATCGGAGCAAAGGGCATCGCTACTAGCAGCAAGGACGCTACGAACGGGGTCGTTTTAACCCCCACCCGGAATGTGAACAGATCCGTGCAGGCCGTGGTCTCCCAGCTCCAGTCTCTCCAGACCATCCCGCCAGCGTTCTGGTACCTTGTTGGATGGGCCCGAGTCGCCCATGCACAAAGCAGATACGGAGCTGACGATTATGCGCTCGAGTCTGTAAGGCATCGCACGTGTAAGACATGCTGAGGGGTGCCATGGTGCCCATTAAAATGCTCTGTCAGAGACAGGCAAATTAGGTAACACGCATCCCGTTCCCCTAGCAGGACACAGAGATGTCCTCCTTGCATCCTCCAAAGGATGTAGCAGACAAAGCCAAAGAGTTCTGAGAGACCCATACACATTCAGTGAGTGATAGCACGTGTTTCCAGTGAGGAGCTAAAACAGTGGGATGTCACGTTTTCTTGCCGAAGCTGAGTCTGGTCAGCCCGTGCTGTGTGGTTCAAGGAAGGACAGCTGAGAAGGTGCTCCACTTGGGTATAGACCGCAAGACCATGTTGTGATTATTTGGAAAGTAATAGACATTGTCACATGATGTATATACTGTGAAAATTATATAATCGTCCAAAAATAGAATAACATAGATCCTTGAGGGCCTAAGGCCCTTGAAAGGTCAGCGGTCTATCGACCAAGTTCCATGCTGTGAAGACCTCCAAGAGGATACCTTCATAGTCTCAGCTGTCAGGTCTTTTAACTGATTTGTACAGCGGAGTAAGGAACCTCAGTCGAGACTCCACCATGAGGGTGCAGAATATTGTTCTTCATCGTGCTCACGAGAAGCGCGCTTGCAATGTGATTTGAACAGGTCTACCGCCAAACCGAGAAATACTTGGAGTCTGGGAGGCACAGGTCACTTCAGCCAATCCGAGTATCGCAGACCAATGTCAACAGCATTGCCGTGAACCTCATTGGTCACTCACACTTTCCATCCCGTCGAAACATGCGTATTTCCATTCACTTCTTGAGTGAAGGAATATGTCTATGCCTGGAAGCTACTAGGAACAAGTGCATCGCTTCTAGTAACAAGTGCCTTACTAGTAGTAACAAGAAGCTACTAGAAACAAGTGCCTCACAACAATGTGGCGGACTTGGCCGTTGCCTGAACGGCCTGGAATCGAGAGCTTGGTCCTGGGACACAGAACCACCTTGTCTAGCAAAGACCCAGGCCCGAAAAGATAAAAGAACGCCTCTGCACCGCTGGCTGTGTTTGGGGGACACCAGTTGGAGATAGGAAGACTTGACAAGACTTGTGATGTCATCAAAAGGGACAGCGCATTTGAAGCATTTTTTGCGAGATTGATCCCTTCCGACGGTTTTCACCGAGAGACGGTCAGGCCCGAGCGGCGGTCTGAGCGTCCAGAGCGTGACCACCCAGAGTGTGGTGGCCTCGAGTGGAGTCGTGGATTTTGGCACAACGAAGTGAAGGTGCCTGTGGCAACCTGGGGCAACCACTCCTCATATTTACCTTGTGGCTGTTATGCTATCTATGGCAAGGTATCGCTTCAGATGATCTATGGCTTGTTGGAAGACCGACTGTTGATCTCTCAGGTAGTTTCGTGCCACCTGTCGGCGATCCTTTTCGACCAGGCCCAGATGATGCATATTTGTCTTAGGAACGGAGTGACAACAAGCTGGTTGAGTGACTATATCGTGAACAGATCATCATCAATTGTCAATATATATATATATGTATACATACATGCACTTGCACATCATTTGAGCAGCATCCTGCCCGATGCATCCTTTTCCTGGACACAAGGCCGACGCTGCTTCTTTAAAGTTCCGGAAAACACAAGTATTGGTCCCTCGACTCCCTCGACCCGCCAGATTTCTTTCCTGATGACCGGCGGATGTGGTGGTGATCCTCGCAAGCTTGCTGCTTTGACCGTGATGACTTTACCTCTTTTGGGTCCACTCAAACCCTTGACTCTGGGCAATCAGACATCGTATGACATGGTACACCGGTACATCTTCTAATTTGTCCTGATCCAAGGACTCTTGTGTGTGCAAAAACTTGTCTTACTTCTGACGTAGATGGATGTGGTGCTTGGCTTGGCCAGGCTGCCAGATGGTGGCTTGCTGGGCCCCAGACACCCTGCCTGGGGGCAGGTGGGAGACTTGAAGAGGCGAAAGATGGATGTAGGATCGGTGACTCACTGGATTTTAGTCTAGCCTAGTTGTCCCTCTTTAATACACATCCACACCAGTTTTCTGCTTGGTTGCTCTTCTAATGGTAATTGGTTCTGGCTGCCAAGATGGCAAGTTGCTGGAGGTTATGCCTGGTCGATCAGGGGGCATGATGCCAAGGTGCTGGGGAACAGTTGGGTGAGTGTCATGTCACTCTTGGATTCCTATTGACCTATATCAGAAAGCAACGATACCACACTCCTTCAAATATGTGCATGTCATGTTTACATATGTTTTTCCCTTCCGTTTTGTTTAGTCAGCTAGCAGGCTGTTGTGATTTTGCATGAAGAACTAGCATTGGTACACGTGGCAGCGTCAATTTGCTGTACAGCGAGCTCACTTTGCACCATGGAGGTTTGACCCGATTGGGCCTGGAGAACCTGACCCTGATCACTTGCCGTTGTGAGCTACTTATATGGGTGCGTTGGTGGTGGTGGTGGTGGTGGTGGTGGGTTTTGGCCGGTTTTGGTCGATAAGATACGACACATTAACCCACGTCCAGGTTATTTGGACCTGCTGTTGATGTACTGGAAAGGTATCACTTCTTGTGATTCTTTCTATCTTTCGATGTCAGCCCTTCATTAGCAGCATAGGTGTTGCAAGATGTAAAGATTGTATTTTATGTTCATCAAGTGAAACTCCAGCCATGACTCGGTCCAAGCAGTCCTAGCAAACTGCAGGGACAGAAGAGGCCAGCAAAGTGAGCACAGACCGAACGCGGAACTATTGTTTCTTATTGGCTTTCACTTTGTATCCCTGTGACCTACCTTGCCCCAGACTTTTTTTGACGTTTGTTTGCTCATCTTGTAAACCTGCACTGCTTCTGCCGCCCGTGTAGATGGGCTCTCACGATGACGATTACCAAGTGCCACTGGTACAACATGTCCCGTTCAGAGACCTTCCAACATGGTCCTGCGAGACCGCTTTTCTGCTTCAAAATCCACAGCCAGCGGCTCTGAAAACAGCAAGTGAGTGTTCACTGGCGCCACTCTGGCACCAGCAGCAGCAACAACAAAAACAACAACAACAATAACAACAACAGCAAGTGTGATCCCACGAGACCATGAGCAGCAGCACTACCTCTTCCATCTGCTTTTGCTACCGCCACCATTGCTCCTGCTTCAAGTTGTAGTCGTAGTTGCATTTCTTCAATCTTCTTCATTCATCATTGAGTCATTCATCACCTACACTTTCAATTGCTTGTGTTGCCACTCTCTCCATCCCTGCCACGACTGCCAGCAATGTCTGATACGTCCTTGCTGGCCTATGAGCCTAAGAAGCGACACCAGCCCCTCATCGGATGAAGGCGTGAAACTGAGACGAATCCTTAAGGAGACCACCCGGTGCAAGAATTTGCGATTTGCGTCGATGGGAGGAGGATGACAGGATCCTAGGATCCTGCAGGAGCCCGACTAGATGGGACTGCTGGGGACTAGATGGGACTACATGGATGTGTTTAGTATTTGCAGCAGGAACTAAAGAGACTGTTTGTAGACTACACAATTTAGATGGGACACATATTTACAATAATATATGTATACACATTATATTGAACACTATAGATTCGCAGCAAAGGCCTGGGCGTGGAGGACCAGGAGGCGTGGTCTTCGGCTTCGATGCTTCCATGAGAAAGATCATGGGTGACGGCGAAGCGGGCGAAGTGGCCAAGGGTGTTACTAGCAACCGTCATCTTCAAGTTCTTTGCACTTGGGCAAAAAGCAGAAAAATAGCTAACCTAAGGTGAAAATCAAGTGGCGTGTGTGGCACATCAGGACCAGGAACACCAAGTTTGCCACTTTGTGAGCTAACTTCTGGTGACCAATTGAGATGCCACATCCACATTCACTTTCTACCATGGATCATGCGTCCACCGCTAGTAGGTTGGAGGCCATCGCTAGTAGGTTGGAGGCCATCGCTATAGTAGGTTGGAGGCCATCGCT